CTGGGCGTAGGCCTTTGGGCCATGGTGGGATAAAAAATAGGGCACTTCATTCTCTCAGACCATGTTAGACAAACGGAAAAACAAAACTTCCCAGAAAATGTTCACTGTTGCATTAACATGTTGTGTTGCCTTGGCAACGGTGAGCCCATTATGGGAAAGGGGTTCCCCGGCCCCACTGCCCACATCTAATCTGCCCCACCACCTTGAATCCTGAGTATGCAACAGGCAAATAGTGAAACTCATGTGTTTTGAAAGTCTCTGCCAGTCTGGGCCTGCCTTGTGGGCTCTAGAAGGAACCGCAAGAAAGTTTGAGCTCAGCCTGACCTGAAGCACAAGGAGGTAGAACAGCTCTAAGGTCAGGAGAGGAGAGAATGAACATTTGTGAAGACTGCAGGCTGGTCAGGGAGCAGAGCTGAGGGCGAGGTGCCCCCACCACACCCCATCAGTGCTTCCTGAGTGGCACAGCTGCATATCCCTCTGGTTACTCCTTTCTACAGAGCCCTCTTCATACACCGAGTCTGGGACTTGGAAGTGGGAAGCTTGAAACAGAGTCTCAATAGGTAAGCCTAAACTGGCCCCAGTCTCTCCAGTCTCCCACCTCAGCCTCCTGAGTATGGGATTACAGGCGTGTGCCATCTTGCCTGTCAAACTGTCTACATAAACTTTTTGTTTCAATTTTTGGTGTCTTACATTGTATACTTTTATTTTTTCACTACTGGTGATATCAAGTTCATGTGCCTAGCTCTCTCACCCTAGGATTATAAAAATAACTAAGTAATTCACACTTCTAATTCTTCCTATTGAAAATTAAAGCATAGTTTATTTTGCTCTTATAAAAAGAAACTGGAGCCGGGCGCCGGTGGCTCATACCTGTACTCCTAGCTACTCAGGAGGCTGAGATCTGAGGATCATGGTTCAAAGCCAGCTCAGGCAGGAAAGTCCATGAGACTCTTATCGCCAGTAAAGCACTAGAAAACCGGAAGTGGCGCTGTAGCTCATGTAGTAGAGCGCTCGCTTTGAGCTGAAGAGTGCAGGGACAGTATCCAAACCCACAAAAAAAAAAAAACTGGATTAAAAGATCCAGTGGGGTTGAAGGCAGCAGTCTTGGCTCTGACCCTCTCCAACCTCAGGGAAGCTCTGGGGAACAAATATCTCTTTGGACTTTTTTTTTTTCTCCCAGGAATTTGGGCTTGGCTTCCTTTGCCTTGTATTACCTATCACCTCTACCCACTTTTCAGTCTCTAGAAACTTTATCCATAAATCTTTGTTCTATAGATCATTCTAATCTCTTATAATTACAAATATGCCATGTACATAGGCTAGTACTGGGGCTTAAACTCAAGGCCTGAGCGATGTCCCTTAGTTTTTTTCATTCAAGGCTGAAACTCTACCATTACCATGGCTCCATTTCTAGTGTTTTTGGTGACTGATTTGAGGTAAGAATCTCATGGACTTTCCTGCCCAGGCTGGCTTCAAACCTCCATCCTCAGACTGCAATCTCTTGAGTGGCTAGTTTATAAGCATGAGCCACTGTGGCACCCAGAAATCTTTAATCTGAAAAATAAAAAACATTTAGGGTTGGGAAGGTAGCTTAGTGGTAGAGTGTTTGCCTAGCATCTATGAAGCCCTGGATTCTATTCCTCAGTACCACATAAACAGAAAAAGCTGGAAGTAGCACTGTGGCTCAAGAAGTAGAGTGATAGACTTAAGCAAAAGAAGCTGAGGGATAGTGTCCAAGCTCTGAGTTCAAGCCCCAGGACTGGCAAAAAAAAAAAGGAAAAAAATTAGTGGAGTTTCTGAAGGGACGATTAAACACATCCCATTGGTGTCGAATATTAGAAGAGAAACTTTCCATGTTTTAGGCAGGAGGAACCTGTAAAGAACTGTGAAGAACCTGCCTGGTGACCTTTCATTCCAAATTTCTCTGATTAATACACACCCAGGTGCTTGTGGTAAAGGATGTTGATGTGTATTTTTTTCAAAGCTGCTTCAGATTTACTGGAACTCTTGAAATCTTAATGTGTCGTGTACCCTCCAATTTTTTGCTTATATACCCATAAAAAGAATTCATCATGTACTTTCTACTTATTTGTAATTTTGAATTATTCTAAATATCTGTGGAGGATATAGCCACTCATGTCATTTTAGACAAAATTTCCATTGCTCGGAAGTAGATTGAGTAGACTTGAAAGGGGCACAAATTAGCAAAAGTCAGTGGAAACATTTCTTCTGAGATCTTGAAAACATAAAGCACAAGTTTACCTAGATTTGAAGTCAGGCAGTTGTCACATCCTTCCTCAACATATGCATCTGTGACTCAGACGATACCGGGATGAGACAGAGAGCAAGTGAGGGCTCACCGCCGGCCCCTCCACCCTGCAGAGTAAGTTGAAGACCAGTGGGTTGCTGCCTTTTCAAAGCTTGACTATTCCAAATCCAAGGTGGATGGAACACATGTCCTTCTGTGCACGTTTTCTTCCACATGCTCTTTGCTTTTTCTAACTGCTGGAGAAACAATGATGTCTGTCACAAAACACATAATAAGTAGGAGAAGTCCCTCCTGCTACCCCCCCAGTCTCCAATACATGTCTAAAGCCATATGGAAATATGAACAAAACAGGAAAGAATTCAAAGCCACAAGGCCCTATCTCTTCAGCTTACTCAGAAACCACATTGATTGAAACACTAATATCTCATATTGTTCCTTTGATATTTTGTCTTTTTTTTAACTTTCCACAACATTCTACCATAATAAGAGTAAGATGGAGCCAGGTGCTGATCACTCACACCTGTGCGTGATCCTTGCTACTCACGAGGCTGAGATCTGAGGATCACGGTTCAAAGCTAGCCCAGAAAAGCAAATCCATGAGATCTCTATCACCAATTAACCAGCAAAGAGCTGAAAGTGGGATGTGGCTTACATGTGGTAGAATGCCAGCCTTCAGCAGAACTGAGTTCAAGCCCCAGGACCAGCGGGGCAGTGGGGGAGGGGGGGGTGAGGGGGGGATGGTCAGGTTAGATTAGTTGGATCATCCTTTCTTTTTAAATAGAGAAAAGGCTAAACCCTTTCATTGTGGGTTAGTTTTAGGAAAGAATACTTAAGGGGAGTGAACATTTGGAAATTGATTCTCTTAAAATTATCATTGTCATGTACCTTTTGAGGATGTTCAGATGTCCACAGAGATACACGTACCTCATTTTGAAAACCCTGCCCAAGAGGGAGAGTGTACCTCATAGTCAGGGAAGAAGGTACTGCTGTGATGTAGTGGCAGTGGAGGTGGTGCTTGGGAAATGGACCAATCACATCACATCCTGTCAGCTGCCACTCACTCCATGCAGAAGATTTGTGTCAAACACAAATTTTGCAAACTTATGACAGTTTTTCTCTAGAGAAAGTCTGCTTGCTATACCCCAAGCCTGACCAGAGTCTGAGCACAGTCTCCATACAGCAAAGCCTTTACTCTTCCGTTGTGTTCCTTTGGGTGATTTTCATTGCTCCTTAGCCTGGGGATATGTACAGGCTTTGCAAACATGGTATCTTTCCCTCCCAGCTTTTTAGTTAGGCGGTCTCAGTGCCTTTGATAACTGAAACACATAGGACCTTAATTTGTGATTTTTGCCAGAAAAGTTTTCTTTAGGTTTACATCAATAGTTCAGATGTTTCTACACCATATAAGCCACACTTGCCAAACTCATACAGCACATTGTCCTTTTTCTCTTCAAATAAGATTCTCTGCTTCTACAGATTTTTAGAAGGATAACTACTGTCTCTCTAACATACCAAGAACCTGCTATTAGCTTGAATTGTCTGGAAAAGCAAGGTTAGAAAAAAAAAAAAGAGACTGAGTAAACTGCTTATTCAAAAACAAGCACAGTAATGCAGGGCCAGGAATCAAGACAGCAGAAGAGGGAAACCAGTACACAGTGGCTCTATCATGTTGGCTACTGACGGGTTTTCCATTCCACTGGGACCTTCTGTGCAGCCTCATGAAATGTCTCTCAGAAGTCCCCGCCCTGGGGCTGGGAATGTGGCTCAGTGGTAAAGTGCTTGTCTAGCATGCAGAACACCCTGGGTTCAAGTCCTCGGTACCACATAAACAGAAAAGGCCAGAAGTGGCGCTGCAGCTCTAATGCTAGAGTGCTAGCCTTGAGCAAAAGAAGTTCAGTGCCCAGGCCCGTGAGTTCGAGCCCCCCCCCAAAAAAAGTCCCCACTTGGGAGACAGAAGGGGATCTATCCACTTTGAGGCCCCTTTAGCCAAGGGTAGCCCCAAAGACACCTACTTCTCTGTACTTCTGGGTTCTACATGCTTGCATACAGAACTTCCCAAGCCCAGCCTAGAACACAGTGTGGAAAGTGCAGACCCACTCAGCTCCCTCTGCCTTCACAGGCTCACTGGCCAACATTGTCAGCTGCTTACCCGTGCCTGTACAGGAGTAGTGTTAGATGGAAATTGTGGTAGTGGAGAGATTAAAATCATCCTTACCCGGTCCCTTGGTGCTATCATCCTATTCACCTGGCGGGCAGTCAACCATGGTGGGGTGAGCAGGATACAGGATAGTCCAATATGGTTGCCAGGAGCCCTGTGTGTGAGGATAGTAGGGGATGGGACCATAGGACTGTGGTTAAGGGTGGTAGAGCTAAGACCTTCCTTTAAAAAAAGAAAGTGAGAAAAAAAGTGTTCACTATATGTGATCTGTTGGATCTTCACAATGCCTAGGAAGAAGTACAAAACTTGAGACCAATTCGGAAGCCACCAGTCCAAAAAGCTCACACACCATCCCCACAAAGCTGGTAGCTGCCCCTTCTAGGCTTTTTCTCCTCTTCCTATGTCTGATGCACTTAGCGCTTGGTGTGCTTTAGTTGGTGCCTTGTGGTGAGGAAATGCTGCTCTGTGACTTACCCCAGCTACACCCTATCAGGAGGTTGCCGAGAGAAGGGCAAAGCAGAAGGAGCTTCCTCAACCATTTCCCACAAGTGCACTCCCCCAGCCTCACACGGGTCTAAGTATTTCTGAGTGAACTCAACTCCTCTGTCAAGCAAAGGGAAGTTGGAAAGTTGGAAGTTGGTGGGGGAATGCCACCTCTCTGATATTTTACTCATAGAAATACTGAGAGTCCTACCATTACCCTGCAGGCAGCAAAGGGATCCCAGAAGCAAGCCACGTCCTTTGGCTTTTAATCATAAAAGAAAAAGGAGACATTTTCTTCAGCAAGTAAGTACATTAATTATTATCTTACTACAGGATAGCTTGGGAGAGCTAGTTATCATCGATCTGATTGGGTTTTCTTTTTTTGTTTTAGTGCCGATACTGAGGCTTGAACTCAGGACCTGAACACTGTCCCTTAGTTTGTGGTTTGGTTTGGTTTGGTTTTTCTCAAGGCTAGCGATCTACCACTTGAGCCACAGTCCTATTTCAGGCTTTTGGTAGTTTGGTAGTCAGCCCAGGCTAACTTCAAACTGTGATCCTCAGATCTGAGTCTCCTGGGTAGCTAGAATTCTAGGTGTGAGACACTGGCCCTGCCTGGCTGGACACATTTCCCAATTTGCCCTCAGAGGAACCTTCTGAAGTCTTTCATTCCCTGAAGTTACCCAGGCTCCCCAACACCGATAGAGAATCACCATCACAATGGTGTTCCATTACTTTGGGATTTCCTAACTAGCAGCAAATATGTTTTATGGGCTGAATCTGAATTTTTCAAATCAGTAAAAATTCTGATGATAAACTGCCTCCCACCCAACCTTGGTTAAAATACCCTATTGGTCAGTGAAACAATCTGGTATGTTGGGCAAACTGGTTCTGAGATTGCTTCTAAATAGGAAACCCATACGTATCTCTGGTCAGCTTTGGACTGTGTCACTGGGAGAAGCCTAATGGGTCGCTGTGGAGGATAACATTCATTTCCATTTCTCAATTTTTATATATTTCTTTCTTTCTTTTTTTTTTTTTGGTCGGTTGTGGTACCTGAAGTCTGGGCCTGGGCACTGTCCCTCAGCTCTTTATCTCAAGGCTAGTGCTCTACCACTTGAGTCATAGGACCACTTCCAGCTTTTTCTGCTTAATATTGTGCTGAGGAATCGAACCCAGGGCCTCATGCATGCAAAGCAAGCACTCTACCACTGAGCCACCTTCTCAGCCCCTCAATTTTTATATATTTCTTGAGGGAGAAAAACCTCAGTGTCTTCACATCAAACTACACAACTATAATGTGCTTTTTTTTTCTTTCTTCCTTCTTTGCCGGTAGATTCTCTGTTGATTGGTCCCTTTAGAACCTATTATGTCCCTTGAGGGCTTTGCTTTCAGTAGAGGTGTTTTAAGAATTAGACATTTGTTTCCCTATTTGAATATGAAGACAAAGTTGTTTCCTAAGTTACATACTGCCTTAAACAAATACACTATGATGGTGTCTCTGTTTCTGGAGATGCCCAAAAGAGGATTTGAACTTTCAAACGTTGACTAACTAATTTTGAAGACCCCCTAGAGTTCTCTGTGGGTTGTTTGTTAAGTTGGGTTGGGCTTTGCTTTTGAGACAGAGTCTTATGGGTTGTGCAATGTGGTCTCACACTCCGAGACTGGAGTGGTCTTCTTGCTGGAAGTACAGAGTGACGGCCATGAATTCTCAGTGCTTCTAATAAAGTTAACCAGTGAGTCAACAAACTGTGGTTGGTTCTTGGAACAGGCCTAGGCAAGGTCACGCAGTTTCTGTCTACTTTTGCTTTTCCGTCATAACCACACCTTGGTTTCAAAGTTCACTCAAGTTAAGAATTCAGATGTTTTCATCCACACTGTGTGGACCTCCCTTCCTTGGAAAACGTTTACTGATTTCTTTTTCAGGTTGTGACAATAAATCCACCATTTTCAGAGACCCAGGAACACTATCCAATCTCTCAGCAGTGTGAGAGATTTGTAACCATCACCTGAAGAATCCTTGATCTGAAACTAGTGAATTGTCTTCTTCCCCTGTTGGAAGTGCATCACTAAGTTTTCTTCCACCTGCTTTTGTGAGCCTAGGAGGTGCTCAGATCCTGGGATATACATTACCAGCTTCTGTTCTTCATCCTAAGCCTCTGAAGCCATGACTCACCCAGTGAGCCAGGAAACACCAAAATCCAAGTGTCCCTACCTCTGGCTTTCTACATTTTTGGTGCTGGCTTGTCTTTTCCACATGTCGTCAGGTAAGCAACTTTCAGGAACTTCACTGAGTCCTTACTTAAGATCTCTGAGGTTTGGGCTGGGAAGATGGCTCAGTAGTAGAGTGTTTGCCTCACATGTACAAGGCCCTGGGTTCGATTCCTCAGCACCACATAAAAAGAAAACCCAGAAGTGGCCCTGTGACTCAAATGGTAGAGTGCTAGCCTTGAGCCAAGGGGCTCAACAGTGCCCAGGGCCAGAGTTCAAGCCCCATGACCGGGGGAAAAAAAAAAAAAGATCTCTGAGGTGAAAAGAAAGGCCAGCAATCTTTATGCCACTTCCCTAGGATCCCGCCTGGCTACCTTGTGATCTGAAAGGGTCTCTCAAGGATTCTCCCAGATCAGTTCAGGACTAAGAAAGCTGTGGTCTAAGTGTACTCATCTAGCTCAAAGAGTATAAAAGCTACAGATAGGAACCACCATTCTGAATCACTAACTCCAATTTCCTGGGTGGAGAGCAGGCTACGTTTCTCTCCTTCATTTCTCCTTTTATACTAACCTGTTATTCTAAAATAAATCTTAAAATTTAAAGAGAGAGATGGACACAGGCAGGAAGGAAGGAGGGAAGGAAGGAAGGGAGGAAGGGAGGGAGGGAGGAAGGGAGGGAGGGAGGAAGGAAGGAAGGAAGGAAAGAAGGAAGGGAGGGAGGGAGAGAGGGAAGGAGGGAGAGAGGAAGGAAGGGAAGGAAAGAGGGAGGGAAGGAGGGAGGAAAGGAGAGAAGAGGGAAGAGAAAGAGAGGAAAGAAGAAAGAAAGAGAGAGAGAGAAAGGGAAAGAAAAAAGGAAAGGAAAGGAAAGGAAATCGAAAAGAAGGAAAGAAGCTGGGAGTCAGTGGCTCATGCCTATAATCATCGCTACTCAGGAAGCTGAGATCTGAGGATCATGGTTCAAAGCCAGCCCGGGCAGGAAAGTCTGTGAGACTTTTATTTTCAGTTAACCACCAAAAAGCCAGAAGTGGCACTGTGGCTCAAAGTCATAGAGCAAAAAGAGCTCAGGGGCAGCGCCCAAGCCTTGAGTTCAAGCCCCACGACCAATAACAACAACAACAACAACAAAAGACGATAAGGAAAGAGAAAGAGAAAAAAGAAGTTCAAGGATATGCCTGTGGTAGCACAGAAAGTTAGTGACCAGGTTAACCCAAGAATTCAGACTTTACAGGGTGGGGGAGGGGGAGTGTAGTTGTGGAGCTAGGAGGGAAGGGATGGGTAGGGGAAAAACAAAGGAGGAGGCAACAGTACTTGATAAGAAACGTACTCATTACCTTGCTCATGCAACTGTAACCCCTCTGTACAGTATTCATACAATAAAAATCCTATTAAAAAAAAAAGAAAAACCAAAAAAAGAAAGAAAGAACCCAGACTTTAGAGGAAGCAGTGGGGCAACATTATTTGAAAACTATAAAGGACGGTTTAAAGCCCTGGCCTCTTCCAAGAACACTATATGTTCATTTTCATGTTAGGATGGGCCAAGGGCATTGGCCTTAGGATCTGGTTTTTTGTTGTTTTTGTTGTTGTTTTGGTTGCTTTCTGGGTTGTTTTTTTTTGTTTTGGTTTGTTTTTTTTTGTCAGTCTTTGGGCTTGAACTCTGGATTTGGGCACTGTCCCTCTACCACTTGAGCCACAGTGTCACTTCTGGTAGTTTATTGGAGATAAGAGTCTCACGGACTTTTCTACCCAGGCTGGCTTTGAATCGCCAGCCTGAGTAGCTAGGATTACAGGGGTGAGCCACCGGCACCCGGCTAGGATCTGGTTTCTAAACTACATTTCTATGGTATAATGCTGCCATGTTTTGCCTTTAAAATGCTACAATGATTTTTTTTTTTTAAATTTGAAGGGGCATGGAGCAGGTAGTTGAGGAATATAATCTTTTCTTAATTTAATTTTTTTGTGCTGTACTGGGGCCTGAATTCAGGGCATCGAGCTCTTTTTCACATGATATTGGCCTTCTACCACTTGAGTCACAGCTCTATATCTGGCTTTTTGCTGGTTAATTAGAGATGTGTCTCATGGACTTTTCTATCTGAGTTTTCTTGAAAACACAATGCTCAGATTTCAGCTTCCTGAGTAGCTAGGATTACAGTCATGAGCACCAATGTTGGTCAAATCTGGTTAATGTTAAACCTCTCTTTTTCATATGTTATGGCTGCTGACATCCTTTGTCAACATTGGTATATGATAATAAGTGATTTCAGATTCATCCCTATTATATGTAAAGTTATCCTTTTTTATTTTATTTCTTTTATGAGACAGGGTCTTACTTCGTAGCTCAGTCTGGCCTTGAACTCATGATCTTCCTGCCTCAGTCTCTGGAGTGCTGAGATTACAGGCAGGCACTACTATGTCCAGTTAATTTCCACTATTTTTAATAACTAACTAGGTATTTCCTATGTACCCTGAAAAGAGTACTTCTCAGAAATAAAGAGAAAACTTGAGTGCCAATGTGGTTTGTCCATCTGCCAAGACCTATCAAAGGTCTAGATATAAAACTGCTCACTTAAGTATGGCCCATAATATCTAAATGTGAGAGACAGGGAAACAGGGACAGGGGTGGGAAGAGGAACCAGGGACTCTATGCTACCATGATGGTAATTGTAAGTTCTGTGATCTAAGTTATAAAACCTGCTGGCTGGGCACTGGTGGCTCACGCCTATAATCCTAGCTACTCTCGGTTCAAAGCCAGCCTGGGCAGGAAAAGTCCATGAGATTCTTATCTCCAATTAACCACCAGAAAACCGGAAGTGACACTGTGGCTCAAGTGGTAGAGCACTCACCTTGAGCTGAAGAGTTGAGGGAACAGCACCCAGGCCCAGAGTTCAAGCCCCACAACTGACAAAAACAAAAAACAAAAAAACCAAAAACCAAAAAATTTAAAAAAAAAAAAAACTTGCTACCTTACCCCGTTGCAACCAAGAGAACCAGCCATGCTTTTAATTTTGCAGTGGACATATCAGATCTTTGTATGTGTGTGATATCGGAGCTTAAACTCAGCCTCTTGTTCCTGCTCAGATTTTTCTCGTCACAGCTGGTGTTCTACCACTTGAACCACACCTCCACTTCCAGCTTTTCTATTAGAGATCAGAGTTTGCCCAAGCTGGTTCCAAACCACAATCCTCAGATCTCTGCCTTCTGAGTAGCTAGGATTGTTGATGTGAGCCACTGGTACCCAGATCCACACAACAGATTTTGTGTATATTGGACAATAATAGTACATTTCCAACTGTCACAAAGTTGAATTTTCTTCTGGGAAGCTATGGATGTACACTCAAACTAAAGTCTTCTGGAGGAACTGAATCATGAGCTTAAAACTCAGAAATAAGGAGTGGTGAGGAAGAGAGAGAGAGAGAGTGCAAAAGAATTAAACTGACTTTGTAACTACACCAGGAAAATTAAAAACAGAGGTAAACTGAAGGAAATGGTCTTTGAACAAACAGAAAACAAACACCTTGTTCTACAGTTATACCCAGATTTTACTGTGCATGGCACAAACCAATCCATGAGCCCTTTGGATCTGAACAGGAAAGTAGAGCCTGGAATTTCTGCTTGTAGAGTGGTTGGCATATATTACTTGGAGAAAGTAACCATAACTCACATAAAAAGATACAGTAAAGTGCTGGGTCTCAACTGCAAAAGCCCAAGATCTGGGAAGAGAAGGGCCAGGATGGGCTGGAGGGGATGGAGGCTGAGCTGAGGGGGGAATGGGGGCAGTAGTGAGGCAGGTGAATGGGAATAGAAAGAGAGAGAGGACTGCAAGCAGGACAGCAGCCGGACAGAGGTACCAAGGAGAAGGAAAAAAATCATTCATCCAACACTAAGCAGCTCCTATTTAGAAGACACATTTCTTAGTCTTGGGGACAAATTGCAAGGAAAATGGAGATGGCTTTTGCCTAGCACTAGTGGCTCATGCATAACAATCCTAGCTTCAAAGCCAGGTAGGCAGGAAAGTCCTTTGAAACTCTTTTTTTTTTTTTCTTTTGGGTCCAGTCGTGGGGCCTGAACTCTGGGCCTGGGCGCTGTCCCTCAGCTCTTAAGCTACCACTTGAGCCACAGCGCCACTTCCGGCTTTTATTTTTTTCTGCTTATGTGGTGCTGAGGAATCGAACCCAGGGCCTCATGCATGCAAGGCAAGCATGCTCTACCACTGAGCCACCTTCCCAGCCCTCCTTTGAAACTCTTATCTCCAGTTAACCACCAAAAAACTGAAAGTGGAGTGGTGGCTTAAGTGGTAGAGCACTAGCCTTGAGCAGAAAGCTAAAGGGCTTGTGGGCCACGATCAGAAATCTAAATGTTAGGGCTGGGAAGGTAGCTCAGTGGTAGAGTGCTTGCTCACATGCATGAGGCCCTGGGTTCGATTCCTCAGCACCACATAAACAGAAAAGGCCAGAAGTAGCACTGTTGCTCAAGTGGTAGAGCACTAACCTTGAGCTGAAGAGCTGAGGGACAGCACCCAGGTCCAGAGTTCAAGCCCTACTATTGACAAAAAAAAACAAAAGAAAAAAAAAAAAGAAACCTAAATGTTATTAGCAGAACGGCAGGAATCCATGCAAGAGTTTTAGGCAGAGACAGCACAGTGTCCCTCAGGGCTGTGCACACTTGAGGCATGCATACTCATCACCTGGGGATTGTTGAACGCAGTTTCTACCATGGGGGATTTTTTTTTTAGAGAAGTGAAACTCATTTGTATAATACTGCAATGATGGATATGTTGCACATTTTTCAAATCTATAGAGCATTCACCACCAAGAGTGCACTCTAAGTAAACCATGGACATTGGGTGACAGAAATGTCATCAGAGTTAACCTAAAACTGCCCTGAGAAACAAAGTCCCCTGACCCCCACCCAACCTCCAGCAGTACAGAGGCCCTCATGCTTCCAGCCCTGAATTTTGCACATTATTTTTCAGATAGGGTCTTGATTCCTACCTGGGCAGGTGTCTGGGGCTGATGTACCTATATTAGGCCTCCTGGTAGGTGGGATAATAGGTGCATACC